GTCTTAAGCTATGCATTTACTACATGGATTTTATTTGAGGACCATTCTACTCCAATTCGCTTATTGCCGAGTGATCCTTGGTTCAAAGCGGAGTTATAGGGTGGACCCAGTCACGTGACATCTGTACAGGAACATTTCCTGCAGGGTAGAGGGGTTGCAGGGAAGAGGGGCTGCAGGGTAGAGGGGCTGTGGCTGCAGGGTAGAGGGGCTGTGGCTGCAGGGTAGAGGGGCTGCAGGGTAGAGGGGCTGTGGATGCAGGGTAGAGGGGCTGTGGCCTCAGGGTAGAGGGGCTGCAGGGAAGAGGGGCTGTGGCTGCAGGGTAGAGGGGCTGTTGCTGCAGGGTAGAGGGGCTGTGGCTGCAGGGAAGAGGGGCTGTGGCTGCAGGGTAGAGGGGCTGTGGCTGCAGGGTAGAGGGGCTGTGGCTGCAGGGTAGAGGGGCTGTGGCTGCAGGGTAGAGGGACTGTGGCTTCAGGGTAGAGAGGCTGCAGGGTAGAGGGGCTGTGGCTGCAGGGTAGAGGGGCTGTGGCTGCAGGGTAGAGGGGCTGTGGCTGCAGGGTAGAGGGGCTGTGGCTGCAGGGAAAAGGGGCTGTGGCTGCAGGGTAGAGAGGCTGTGGCTTCAGGGTAGAGTGGCTGTGGCTGCAGGGTAGAGGGGCTGTGGCTTCAGGGTAGAGGGGCTGCAGGGTAGAGGGGCTGTGGCTGCAGGGTAGAGGGGCTGTGGCTGCAGGGTAGAGGGGCTGTGGCTTCAGGGTAGAGAGTGCAGGTAGAGGGCTGTGGCTGCAGGGTAGAGGGGCTGTGGCTGCAGGGTAGAGGGGCTGTGGCTGCAGGATAGATGGGCTGTAGAGGGTAGAGGGCTATGGCTTCAGGGTAGAGGGGCTGTGGCTGCAGGGTAGAGGGGGGGCTGTGGCTGCAGGGTAGAGGGGCAGGGTAGAGTGGCTTCAGGGTAGAGGGGCTGTGCAGGGTAGAGGGGCTGAGGGGCTGTGGCTGGATAGAGGGGGGGCTGTGGCTGCAGGGTAGAGGGGCTGTGGCTTCAGGGTAGAGGGGCTGCAGGGTAGAGGGGCTGTGGCTGCAGGGTAAAGGGGCTGTGGCTGCAGGGTAGAGGGGCTGTGGCTGCAGAGTAGAGGGGCTGTGGCTGCAGGGTAGAGGGGCTGTGGCTGCAGGGTAGAGGGGCTGTGGCTGCAGGGTAGAGGGGCTGTGGCTGCAGGGTAGAGGGGCTGTGGCTGCAGGGTAGAGGGGCTGTGGCTTCAGGGTAGAGGGGCTGCAGGGTAGAGGGGCTGTGGCTGCAGGGTAGAGGGGCTGTGGCTTCAGGGTAGAGGGGCTGCAGGGAAGAGGGGCTGTGGCTGCAGGGTAGAGGGGCTGTGGCTGCAGGATAGAGGGGTTGTGGCTGCAGGGTAGAGGGGCTGCAGGGTAGAGGGGCTGTGGCTGCAGGGTAGAGGGGCTGTGGCTGCAGGGTAGAGGGGCTGTGGCTGCAGGGTAGAGGGGCTGTGGCTGCAGGGTAGAGGGGCTGCAGGGTAGAGGGGCTGTGACTGCAGGGTAGAGGGGCTGGGGCTGCAGGGTAGAAGGGCTGTGGCTGTGTGATACTGAAGTGGTGGTGACAGTACCGGTGGCTGGTGGCTGCAGGGTAAGGGGCTGTGGCTGCATTTTGATAACTGCACACTAACTGCAATTAGTATGAGCAGGGTAGAGGGAAAGTTCGCAGGATAGAGGAGGGAAGGGGCTGTGACTGCAGGGTAGAGGGGCTGGGGGCCTGCAGGGTAGAGGGCTAGAAAGCTGCGAGAAAGAGGGGGGAAAGCACACACACAAACTGTGGCTTGTAGTATGAAGCAGTTAGAAAGTTCGGAGGCTGAGGACGGGAATAGACTAACACACAAACATAATTTAGTATGAGCAGTTAGAAAGTTCGAGGAAGAGGAGGGAAAGACACACACAAACACAATTTAGTATGAGCAGTTAGAAAGTTCGAGAAAGAGGAGGGAAAGACACACACAAACATAATTTAGTATGAGCAGTTAGAAAGTTCGAGGAAGAGGAGGGAAAGACACACACAAACATAATTTAGTATGAGCAGTTAGAAAGTTCGAGGAAGAGGAGGGAAAGACACACACAAACACAGCCTAAAGTTTTGACCAAAGTTTTTTACCTGCAAACAAAACATCACATATGATTAACTGCCAGTCAGACTGTTTGTAAGTTATTCTTTGATATCATTACCATGCGGGTAATTCTAGGATGTACAAGAGACATTCTGGTAGTATTGATGTGACATATATACTTGCACTGCCTACATGGCATATAGGCTCAAAGTTCTGCAAGGAAAGTCATATCTCAGAGTAGCTGTAGACAAGAAGTACATCCTGCATGAAGCCCTATGTAGAGCTAAGGGTCACAGACTGAAAAGAGGAAGGTCTTGGATGGTGCAGGCTGAAGACACAATTAGATATGTGTGCATACTTTTTGAATTTGTGTGAGAAGAGGAGTGGGTTAAAGTGTCCGTGCAAGAATCAGATTTGTGTAGAGTTCTAATCAATTTAGGTGGTGAGGGCAGTTCCAGTGTCATTTTGAAGGTGTAATTATAGAAGCTAATAAAGACTTGGTGACATTCAAGATGATGGTAGCAGTGACGAATCGATAGAAATACTAGAACAATTGCTGGAGCATACTGAGGTAATCATCACCCTGGGCATATATTGCAGAGAATGGAACCAAGCAGACACTGGTGCTGAAATAAGGGCCCTCATCCACAAGCATACTGGACAAGGTGACATCATCCAATGCAGACTCTAGGATTCATTGGTTTTCTTGTCTTCGCTGCTCCAGTTGGTACACACATGGTACACACATGGTATGCAGTCTATTCAGTGAAAAGTCCTTTTCTACAAAGCTGAAAGCCTCATAGCATTTAGTTCTCTTGTATGGCAGTGATCTTCTAATTCTTCTTCGCACCCACTTGGCACCCACTTGTCTGTCAACTCCGGCAGAAAGTTCTGGTTGTTTTTCCACTTCTGGTTCTTGTCTTTTTCAAGAAACTGAGGGTTTCTTGTGCATCCGTTTTACAGATATGACTCATCTGCGTGCAGCTATTGGTTCCTTGCCTCTCAGGCAGGTGCACTCCGACTTTGAAGAAAGCTCCCAATTAGTTGACTCTTACAACATGCTTGTGGGTAGGCAGTGGGTCTATTCTGGTTTTCCATACAATAGGGCGCCGGAACCCACAGGGGGGAGTAAGGCGTGGATAATGTCTCTCCTGTCCATAGATGGCCCATTCCTGACAGTCGCACTGCCAGCCAGGGCATCTGCTCTCTCATTGTCTTTCACTGGGACAAAAATGAATGCTACCTGCTGTATCAAATGGAGCCACTGTTTATTTTTATATGCCCCGCCTTAATCTTCTGTGGTATGCTACCTGAGTTGCTGAAAAAATATGTATTGATGAATTACTGAGTTTTCAGCAATTCTAGGGCCTTTTCCACAACCATGACCTCCGTCCTCATGTTGCTGGGGGTAGAAGCAAAGGCTCCAACTTCTTTCTTTGATGATCTAACCTTCAGTTCTTGCTATGAAAGCCCATGCACTTCACTTCTGACGAATAACAGAACCATTTGTTATATTTATAACAGCATCTTCTGGTGATGTGTGTTTCTCTACCAATGCTTTCACTTCTGTATTAACAGTGCATGTAAATGGAAAGACAGTAAAAGAAGAATGTCAGGCAATAAGTTCAATGACATTGGAGATAGCAGCTGTCACAGGGGGCACTGGTGCATGGCTGACAGAGCACAAAGCTACCCACACACTGATAACGACAGACTCAATGCGCATGCTTAAGAAGATCCAAACTTGTAAACCTTAATTAGAATCGGTTGACTTTATCCAGAAGTCCCTCCTTAAGAAATTATTTTGGCTGTAAACACCGGGGATACACAGAGGTGAAAGAAGAGGTGAAAGAAGAGGTGAAAGAAGAGTGAAAGAAGAGGTGAAAGAAGATGAAAGAGCCACAGACTGGCCATGTCTGCAGTGGCTGGTGGATAAAGAAATATGGACTTTGCGAACATAAAGCATACGCTGAATTCTAGAAACTTTGAGATGAAAGATTTAGAGACAATGAACCACCTGCTGGGAAAGGGTATAAAACGAGGACAAGCATGCAGAAACCTGTTGCGTGGCAAGGAAAGTAGTCATGCCAATCAACTCATGCTGGGTAGGTTGAGCATGGAGACACTGAGATGGTTGCTGTGTCAGAGGATGGAGCATGAATGGGTCAGACCGATGTTCTAGGATGTTGATACAGACAACAAGTAGCTGTCAGACATCAGATTTCTCTGTGCTTTCAACTGTCAAAGACATCACATTTCCCTGTGCCTTCAACTGTCAAAGACATCACATTTCTCTGTGCCTTCAACTGTCAAAGACATCACATTTCTCTGTGCCTTTCAATCACATTTCTCTGTGCCTTCAAAAGACATCACATTTCTCTGTGCCTTCAACTGTCAAAGACATCACATTTCTCTGTGCCTTCAACTGTCATCACATTCTCTGTGCCTTCAACTGTCAAAGACATCACATTTCTCTGTGCCTTCAACTGTCAAAGACATCACATTTCTCTGTGCCTTCAACTGTCAAAGACATCACATTTCTCGGTGCCTTCAACTGTCAAAGACATCACATTTCTCTGTGCCTTCAACTGTCAAAGACATCACATTTCTCTGTGCCTTCAACTGTCAAAGACATCACATTTCTCTGTGCCTTCAACTGTCAAAGACATCACATTTCTCTGTGCCTTCAACTGTCAAAGACATCACATTTGCCTGTGCTTTCAACTGTTAAAGACATCACATTTCTCTGTGCCTTCAACTGTCGGAAACACTAGATTGCTCAGTGTTTCAAACGAGTCATGAGATTGCTTAGCTTTTTGAAATGACAAAGAAAGCATGTGGAGTGTTTTCAACTGTCAAAGACATCAGACTGCTCAATGTTTAGACAAGAACTACGCTGCAGAAACTGCTTTAAAAGGATGTTTCTTTACCAATGACTTCATCAATATTCATACAAATATTGCCAGACTTGGCTGTTACCGTCCTCACACTGCTCTCATCGTTCTTGGATTCTGATTTGTTGGTTTCTGATTTCAAGTGGTTTAGTTTTGGTACCCTAGAGTATCTAGTATCATAAGGGCAACTTGTATGCAGGTTATAATGATTGTATGAGCTTCCAGCAGTGAAGAAATCACTATCATCTTCCGACAGCTCTGACATGAGCGAGCTTGTGGGGACAGACATCCCTGTAGACTGATAGTTAGTTGTTGATTGATTCTCTCTGAAGAACTTTGGGAAGTTAGGAGAAACTGGTTTCTCTGACTGTTCAGATGACAGTTCTGATGATAGAGACTGAGAACTGATATGTGCAACTGAAGTCTCAGTATTTAATGATGAGAACACATTGCTTGTCTTAGAAGAATAAGGATGTAATCTCTCTCCATGAGTATGGAACAGCAATGGAGATTTAGCAGTGAATGAATTTATTATTTGGACACAGGCTGTTGATGGTGGGTTTATAACCCTCTCTGAAGTAATGACATGCTCCACTAGCACCTCATTTAACTCATTACAATATAAAGGGGAACGAAAATAGTCATCAGCCTTCTTGTCTACAGTCATTATCTGGCAGAGTTATCTCCCTTGATTCTGTTGTCCTTTCCTTCAATGGTGCACCAATTGGAAGTGATCTGTGCAGCTTTAACAGCATTGTGTTTCAAGCTGGGATGGCATATGTCACGTAGAGGGATGTTGTTTTCCCAGGACACCAACACATGTTGTATTGCAGGAAATGGTGTTCTGGGGGAAAGCTGACCAACTGCATGACCCGAGGATGGCTGCACAATGTGGTCAACATTGGTGTCAGTGTGAAGCTCCGGGGCTAGCAGAGACTGCCTCCCAGATTGAGCTGTGGGAACATGACTGCAGTCATTAGGCTGCCATCTTTGCTTCTGCACTGTGCCATTTTGACAAAGCTTCAGATCCAGATATGGTGTTGTTGAAGAGATGCTGTCCCTTTTCTTGCCAGCTTCAACCGTAGCTGAGTCTCTGAAACAGTACATCAAAATATATCAGATACAGTGATTCATTCTATATCAAGAGTGTGTTGTACAGTGATTCATTCTATATCACAAATGTGTTGTACAGTGATTCATTCTATATCAAGAGTGTGTTGTACAGTGATTCATTCTATATCACAAATGTGTTGTACAGTGATTCATTCTATTTCACAAATGTATTGTACAGTGATTCATTCTATATCACAAGTGTGTTGCACAGTGATTCATTCTATATCTCAAGTGTGTTATACAGTGATTCATTCTATATCACAAGTGTGTTGTACAGTGATTCATTCTATATCACAAGTGTGTTGTACAGTGATTCATTCTATATCACAAGTGTGTTGTACAGTGATTCATTCTATATCTCAAGTGTGTTGTACAGTGATTCATTCTATATCTCAAGTGTGTTGCACAGTGATTTATTCTATATCACATGTGTGTTGTACAGTGATTCATTCTATATCACAAGTGTGTTGTACAGTGATTCATTCTATATCACAAGTGTGTTGTATAGTGATTCATTCTATATCACAGGCGTGTTGACCAGTGATTCATTCTACATCACAAATGTGTTGTACAGTGATTCATTCTATATCACAAGTTACAAAATGTCAAAGACCACATGTTGATTCATTCCTTATTAGCCCTAGTTTGACAAAGACCACATGTTGATTCATTTCCTTATTAGCCCTAGTTTGACAATGACCACATGTTGATTCATTCCACATTAGCCCTAGTTTGACAATGACCACATGTTGATTCATTCCTTATTAGCCCTAGTTTGACAATGGCCACATGTTGATTCATTTCTTATTAGCCCTAGTTTTCATTCCACATTAGCCCTAGTTTGACAATGACCACATGTTGATTCATTCCACATTAGCCATAGTTTGACAATGACCACATGTTGATTCACTCCACATTAGCCCTAGTTTGACAATGACCACATGTTGATTCATTCCACATTAGCCCTAGTTTGACAATGACCACATGTTGATTCATTCCCCATTAGCCCTAGTTTGACAATGACCACATGTTGATTCATTAACCATTAGCCCTAGTTTGACAATGACCACATGTTGATGCATTCCCTATTAGCCTTAGTTTGACAATGACCACATGTTGATTCATTCCACATTAGCCCTAGTTTGACAATGACCACATGTTGATTTATTCCACATTAGTCCCTAGTTTGACAATGACTGCATGCTGATTATTTTGGTATTATCTAAAGTTAAAACATCCGACATCCGAAGATGGCAGAAATCTTCTGGACATTTTTGTAGCTGGCATATTTGACTATAGCACTTCTAATGTGGGTTTTGGGGCCTCATTGTGGGTAAAACAAGAATAGACCCATTGCTTGCTCAACAAGCATATTGTAAGAGTTGACTAACTGGGAGCTTTCTTCAAAGTCAGAGTGCATCTGCCTGAGAGTCAAGGAACCAACAATCTGTATACAGATAAGTCAGATGTGTCAAACAGATGAGCACGCAACACACAAGTTCTAGAACAAGACTAAAGTCCAGAGGTGGACAAATACCCAGCACTTTCTGCTAGAGTTTACAGCGGGGAAACGCGAAGAAGAACAAAGAAAAAGATTGATGTTAGCACAGTCATCTCCATGACAAGGATTAATCCCTACTCAGGTGGCCAAACTATTTCTGTAGCCTGTTTCCTCGCCCATCACTTGGAACAAGGTCAAGGTGAGTTTTGGTTTTCTGCTCTTGATGCAAACTGTCAAATTATGATTCACTGACTGTTTTCATCTAATTTCTATCTTCTCAGTCATGACCCAATCATATGATCATTGTTTGTTATGTTCCTTCTTCAAATGGGTTCCAGGGCCCCACTGTGGAGGAAACAAGAATAGACCCACTACCCCTAAGAGGAATTGGTCCTTTAATTTTAGTTCAACTCATCTTGGAGACTCTGAGAGTTGCTAAAGAAATCGTGGGGAAAGTCCAGTAGTAGAGGGGTGTTGTGATGTGAAATGAGCAATGACTGAGATGGAACTAATATCCGAATTTCCTAAAAGGTGACTAATTAGGGGTGTTTACTTGAAAGCCAGGGTGCACCTGCCTGGGAAGTGAAGAACCAACAGTCTGCCTACAAATAAGCCAGACCCATTTGCACATAAAATACATGTTCTGGAATAAGATTAAAGTCCAGAAGTGACCAAACAATCAAAACTTTCAGCCGGAGTTTACAGCCAGTGAAAGCTAAGAAGAGGGCTATATTGTCAGTTTTGATTCCATCATATATTCTTCTTCTTCTTCTTTGTTTCTTCTTCTTCTTCTTATTTGTTCATCAACTGTAAATTCCAATGGAAGGTTCTGGTTGTTTGTCCATTTGGACTTTGGCTTTGTGCCAGGGCCTGAGTTTTGTATGTACATCCATTTTACAGGCGTATTTGTGTGCAGTGGTTGTTCTTTGCCCCTTGGACAGATGCACTCTGACTTGAAAGAAAGCTCCCTTTTTACAAAATACTTCTTTTTAGGAAGGCAGTGAGTCTATTCTTGTTTTCCTCACAATGGGGCCTTGGAACCCAGGGAATCGTACATTTAATATTTAGTATGTTTTCAATCTGACTGGTCATTACATTGAATGTTTGCTGCATCCTCTGTCCTGACTAACTATTCCATGTGTTCATTGGTTCATTTGATAAGCTTAACTGACTTGAATGACAAGGAATTGTACTGATAAGTAAACTTATTGCCATGGTAAAGAAAAAGCATATTTCCTTCTCTTCTTTTATCACAGTTACATTACCTCTGACCTGAATTCTTAGTTTCACTTCATGTGCCCATTGTGTTACGACTTTAATTCTTTGGACTCAGACACTGGATACTTTAAACTATAATATCTCATCAGATAGTAGTAGTTGGTTTTTACCCCACTAGGACATCACACAAGCGATAAACACCCAATGACACAGAGTGCCACCATGTGGATGAGGATCACCCATGGAGAGGTCCCAGAAACCGCATTCCCGGTGGGTTCATTCCGCGTTTGAAGAAAAGATGAAGATGATTCACTCTCCTTAACAATATGGATATAATTTTCTTTGAATAAACGTTATACATAGTATTTTTTCAACATGGAACGCATTATCGTATTTTACAATAATTTATATGAGAAAAATTGTTTCGCATAACAAGTGCTTTTGCTTAACGAGTATGATTCTGAAACGAATTATGCTCGTTAAGCGAGGTTCCAATGTATGTAATTTGTTGGCGGAGGAAATGTAATTTAATCTCTCATTACCCAGTGACACATCCATACAATAGGACAGAAACAAAATACAGTTATAACCCTTCTGTCAGCAAGTTATACACAACACAAAGGAGTGGAACATCCTAGATTTGGTGACTCACGCAATGTGTTTCCGCAGCTGAGAAATCTTCAACAGGGCAAGATCCAAGTCATGTCTGACTTTCCAGAGTTGTGTTTCACAGTGTGGATGCTTACACTTGTAGTGTCGGTGGTAGTCCATGGCCTCCTTCACCGTCTGCTCAAATGTCAAGGACTGTCCCATACTCTTGAAACAAAACAAGAAATGTATGAAGGTTAAACAACTATGCCAGGGCTCATCATGCTTTGTATTATACAACTATGCCAGAGCTCATCATGCTTTATATAAGATAACTATATGATTATGTGTGAGCTCATGTTGCTCCCTATCACTACAGGATGATGTGAGGGCTTATCATGCTTTATTTAACAGCAGGATTATGTGAGAACTCATCATGTTTCAAATAACTTAACGATTATGTGAGAACTCATCATGTTTCAAATAACTTAACAATTATGTGAGAACTCATCCTGTTTCAAATAACTTAATGATTATATGAGAACTCATCCTGTTTCAAATAACTTAATGATTATATGAGAACTCATCATGTTTCAAATAACTTAACGATTATGTGAGAACTCATCATGTTTCAAATAACTTAACGATTATGTGAGAACTCGCCATGTTTCTTCTTCTTCTTCTTCGCGTTCACCAGCTGTAAACTCTGGCGGCAGGTTCTGGTTGCTTATCCACTACTGAACTGCAGTGCTGCTAGAGAACCTGAGTGTTGCGTGTGCATCAGTTTTACAGATCTCATTCTCTTGAATACAGACTGTTGGTTCCTTGCCTCTCCGGCAGATGCACTCCGACTTCAAAGGAAGCTCCCCAATTAGTTGACTCTTACGACATGCTTTTGGGGAGGCAGTAGGTCTATTCTTGTTTTCCCCACAATGGGGCCCCGGAACCCACATGGGGGACCGCCATGTTTCAAATAACTTAACGATTATGTGAGAAATCATGTTTCAAATAACTAAACGATTATGTGAGAAATCATCATGTTTCAAATAACTAAATGATTATGTGAGAAATCATAATGTTTCAAATAACTAAACAATTATGTGAGAACTCATCATGTTTCAAATAACTTAACAATTATGTAAGAACTCATCATTTTTCAAATGACTGAACGATAATGTGAGAAATCATGTTTCAAATAACTAAACGATGATGTGAGAACTCATCATGTTTCAAATAACTAAATGATGATGTGAAGGCTTATGATGGTTTATATTTGTTATATTGTTCTGTAAATTAAAGATTGTTGTGTGCTCTGTAGGTGTTTGGGTTTAATGTGTTTAGGATAGGCTTATCTGTCATGGGTGGTGCCAGTGGCATTGTGAGTCCGACTGTCATGGGTGGTGCCAGTGACATTGTGAGTCCGTCTGTCATGGGTGGTGCCAGTGGCATTGTGAGTCCGTCTGTCATGGGTGGTGCCAGTGACATTGTGAGTCCGTCTGTCATGGGTGGTGCCAGTGACATTGTGAGTCCGTCTGTCATGGGTGGTGCCAGTGGCAATGTGAGTCCGACTGTCATGGGTGGTGCCAGTGGCATTGTGAGTCCGTCTGTCATGGGTGGTGCCAGTGACATTGTGAGTCCGTCTGTCATGGGTGGTGCCAGTGGCAATGTGAGTCCGTCTGTCATGGGTGGTGCCAGTGGCAATGTGAGTCCGACTGTCATGGGTGGTGCCAGTAGTGAGCGACTGTCATGGGTGTGGCAATGTGAGTCCGACTGTCATGGGTGGTGCCAGTGGCAATGTGAGTCCGACTGTCATGGGTGGTGCCAGTGGCAATGTGAGTCCGTCTGTCATGGGTGGTGCCAGTGGCATTGTGAGTCCGTCTGTCTGCCAGTGGCATTGTGAGTCCGGCTGTCATGGGTGGTGCCAGTGGCATTGTGAGTCCGTCCATGGGTGGTGCCAGTGGCATTGTGAGTCCGACTGTCATGGGTGGTGCCAGTGGCAATGTGAGTCCGTCTGTCATGGGTGGTGCCAGTGGCATTGTGAGTCCGTCTGTCATGGGTGGTGCCAGTGGCATTGTGAGTCCGTCTGTCATGGGTGGTGCCAGTGGCATTGTGAGTCCGACTGTCATGGGTGGTGCCAGTGGCAATGTGAGTCCGACTGTCATGGGTGGTGCCAGTGGCATTGTGAGTCCGTCTGTCATGGGTGGTGCCAGTGGCATTGTGAGTCCGTCTGTCATGGGTGGTGCCAGTGGCATTGTGAGTCCGTCTGTCATGGGTGGTGCCAGTGGCAATGTGAGTCCGACTGTCATGGGTGGTGCCAGTGGCAATGTGAGTCCGTCTGTCATGGGTGGTGCCAGTGGCAATGTGAGTCCGACTGTCATGGGTGGTGCCAGTGGCAATGTGAGTCCGACTGTCATGGGTGGTGCCATGCAATGTGAGTCCGTCTGTCATGGGTGGTGCCAGTGGCAATGTGAGTCCGACTGTCATGGGTGGTGCCAGTGGCAATGTGAGTCCGTCTGTCATGGGTGGTGCCAGTGGCATTGTGAGTCCGTCTGTCATGGGTGGTGCCTGGCATTGTGAGTCCGACTGTCATGGGTGGTGCCAGTGGCATTGTGAGTCCGTCTGTCATGGGTGGTGCCAGTGGCATTGTGAGTCCGTCTGTCATGGGTGGTGCCAGTGGCATTGTGAGTCCGACTGTCATGGGTGGTGCCAGTGGCATTGTGAGTCCGTCTGTCATGGGTGGTGCCAGTGGCATTGTGAGTCCGACTGTCATGGGTGGTGCCAGTGACAATGTGAGTCCGACTGTCATGGGTGGTGCCAGTGGCAATGTGAGTCCGACTGTCATGGGTGGTGCCAGTGACAATGTGAGTCCGTCTGTCATGGGTGGTGCCAGTGACAATGTGAGTCCGTCTGTCATGGGTGGTGCCAGTGGCATTGTGAGTCCGATTCATAATCCATCATACCGCGATCGAAACCCACTGTTGGCTGCATAGATTTTTATCATGGTATGGGGCGTCACAGGTCGACCCAGCCTAAAATGGGTACCAGGATGGCTGTCCTGTGAAAGTAAAGACGGCTAGCGTAATGCTGACAACATTACCCACCTAGTGTCGATTGGTCTGTAAAAATATGGGATGCTCTTCCCATATACCCGATGTGCCTAAGGCGTGAAAAGGGATCTTTACTTTACTTTACTATCTGTTTTGATGGATCTTGATGCAAGACTCCAGCCACATGTCCCCATCATGCACCACAGATAATGGTTCACAGGAGCATCAACCGAGCTAGCAGAGAATCTTCAAGTTGGTGACACCCAGAGATGCAGAAATCCTCTAGCTCCCATCAGCCCACACCAAATGCTTGGATGACAACATCAATCAAAACTACCTTTGGAACATGAATAAATCCTGCTAGCCAAATATCTTACTATCTGACAAACCCCAGTTCAAATGTCTGTAGAAACCCTACTGACTAGGCTCAAAAGTTCACATGTCAGGTGTTGGGGTGCTGTAATCAGTTGAGCAGCAACCTTACTATGAACTGCTGAGACTCAGTCCTAGACCAAGAGAAGAAAGTAATGTCACACCTAGAAACAATGGGCATGCTACCAGACACCAGGGGCAGCTATGGGCCACCAGGGGACAGTGCTGGTATGTTTGCATATGATGCATATAAAGGATTTCAGCAAAAGCAAAAAAAAAATACAAAAGTTGCTGTTGCAATTGATTTTGAAAATGCCAATAATAACATTGACTTCACACGTCTAATGCAGTGCATCATGGACTCCAGAGTGAACCCATGACTGGCTAAATGGTGGCAGCACTGTTAGAGAGAACAGTGGTATTTCGTTTGGTGACATGGAGATTGGAAACCAACACACATTTGCCCTGGCCTTCCTCAGGGATCATCATTATCACCTATCTTATTCAACATATATACTTCAAGTCTGGCAAAATGCATCTTCTAGACTAGGGCGAGCCCTGACATTTGCAGATGAATTCCTAGTGGATTTGACAGGGTCAGACAGGTACGACATAACCAGAGACTTGCAAGTCTATTGCATCAGATGAGGGAGTAGTAGTAGATGAGGGAGTAGTAGTAGATGAGGGAGTAGTAGTAGATGAGGGAGTAGTAGTAGATGAGGGAGTAGTAGTAGATGAGGGAGTAGTAGTAGATGAGGGAGTAGTAGTAGATGAGGGAGTAGTAGTAGATGAGGGAGTAGTAGTAGATGAGGGAGTAGTAGTAGATGAGGGAGTAGTAGTAGATGAGGGAGTAGTAGTAGATGAGGGAGTAGTAGTAGATGAGGGAGTAGTAGTAGATGAGGGAGTAGTGTGAATGTAGGCAGTCAAGCCTGAACACTGTGAAGGTCAGTGTTTTATGACCAGATCTGGGCTCCTGCACAAAGTCCCCATTGTTGATCCCTTTAGACTTTGGCTTTATGCCAGGACCTGAGTCCCCATTGTTGATCCCTTTAGACTTTGGCTTTATGCCAGGACCTGAGTCCCCATTGTTGATCCCTTTAGACTTTGGCTTTATGCCAGGACCTGAGTCCCCATTGTTGATCCCTTTAGACTTTGGCTTTATGCCAGGACCTGAGTCCCCATTGTTGATCCCTTTAGACTTTGGCTTTATGCCAGGACCTGAGTCCCCGTTGTTGATCCCTTTAGACTTTGGCTTTATGCCAGGACCTGAGTCCCCGTTGTTGATCCCTTTAGACTTTGGCTTTATGCCAGGACCTGAGTCCCCATTGTTGATCCCTTTAGACTTTGGCTTTATGCCAGGACCTGAGTCCCCATAGTTGATCCCTTTAGACTTTGGCTTTATGCCAGGACCTGAGTCCCCGTTGTTGATCCCTTTAGACTTTGGCTTTATGCCAGGACCTGAGTCCCCGTTGTTGATCCCTTTAGACTTTGGCTTTATGCCAGGACCTGAGTCCCCGTTGTTGATCCCTTTAGACTTTGGCTTTATGCCAGGACCTGAGTCCCCGTTGTTGATCCCTTTAGACTTTGGCTTTATGCCAGGACCTGAGTCCCCGTTGTGATCCCTTTAGACTTTGGCTTTATGCCAGGACCTGAGTCCCCGTTGTTGATCCCTTTAGACTTTGGCTTTATGCCAGGACCTGAGTCCCCGTTGTTGATCCCTTTAGACTTTGGCTTTATGCCAGGACCTGAGTCCCCATTGTTGATCCCTTTAGACTTTGGCTTTATGCCAGGACCTGAGTCCCCATTGTTGATCCCTTTGGACTTTGGCTTTATTCCAGGACCTGAGTCCCCATTGTTGATCCCTTTGGACTTTGGCTTTATGCCAGGACCTGAGTCCCCATTGTTGATCCCTTTGGACTTTGGCTTTATGCCAGGACCTGAGTCCCCATTGTTGATCCCTTTAGACTTTGGCTTTATGCCAGGAGTTGATCCCTTTGGATGCTTTATGCCAGGACCTGAGTCCCCATTGTTGATCCCTTTGGACTTTGGCTTTATGCCAGGACCTGAGTCCCCATTGTTGATCCCTTTGGACTTTGGCTTTATGCCAGGACCTGAGTCCCCATTGTTGATCCCTTTGGACTTTGGCTTTATGCCAGGACCTGAGTCCCCGTTGTTGATCCCTTTGGACTTTGGCTTTATGCCAGGACCTGAGTCCCCATTGTTGATCCCTTTGGACTTTGGCTTTATGCCAGGACCTTGAGTCCCCATTGTTGATCCCTTTGGACTTTGGCTTTTATGCCAGGACCTGAGTCCCCATTGTTGATCCCTTTGGACTTTGGCTTTATGCCAGGACCTGAGTCCCCATTGTTGATCCCTTTGGACTTTGGCTTTATGCCAGGACCTGAGTCCCCATTGTTGATCCCTTTGGACTTTGGCTTTATGCCAGGACCTGAGTCCCCATTGTTGATCCCTTTGGACTTTGGCTTTATGCCAGGACCTGAGTCCCCATTGTTGATCCCTTTAGACTTTGGCTTTATGCCAGGACCTGAGTCCCCCATTGTTGATCCCTTTGGACTTTGGCTTTATGCCAGGACCTGAGTCCCCATTGTTGATCCCTTTGGACTTTGGCTTTATGCCAGGACCTGAGTCCCCATTGTTGATCCCTTTGGACTTTGGCTTTATGCCAGGACCTGAGTCCCCATTGTTGATCCCTTTGAACTTTGGCTTTATGCCAGGACCTGAGTCCCCATTGTTGATCCTTTGGACTTTGGCTTTATGCCAGGACCTGAGTCCCCATTGTTGATCCCTTTGGACTTTGGCTTTATGCCAGGACCTGAGTCCCCATTGTTGATCCCTTTGGACTTTGGCTTTATGCCAGGACCTGAGTCCCCATTGTTGATCCCTTTGGACTTTGGCTTTATGCCAGGACCTGAGTCCCCATTGTTGATCCCTTTGGACTTTGGCTTTATGCCAGGACCTGAGTCCCCATTGTTGATCCCTTTGGACTTTGGCTTTATGCCAGGACCTGAGTCCCCATTGTTGATCCCTTTAGACTTTGGCTTTATGCCAGGACCTGAGTCCCCATTGTTTATCCCTTTAGACTTTGGCTTTATGCCAGGACCTGAGTTTTCCGTGTACATGCTTTTTACTGGATTATCTGTGTGGTTGTTCCTTGCCACTCAGGCGGATGCACTCCAACTTCAAAGGAAGCTCCCAATTAGTCGACTCTTATGACATGCTTTTTGGGGAGGCAGTGGGTCTATTCTTGTTTTCCCAACAATGGGGTCCCCGAACCCACATGGGGATAAAACAAAATGAGCTGTCATATCATTTGCTAGTGTCAAAGGCCAGGGTGGGTATGGAACAGCTAGTATGATAGTAGTGAATATTTCATGTCTGCACCTAGATGACCTGGACATGAACCGAGTTCACTGCAACAGACAGCTGACAGTGGGAACTCATGCCTGACTGACTGTTTCGCTTGCAAAGTCACGAGTACCACAAGAATGCTTACCTGAACTGATGTCTGCAATAAAACCTGCAGACAGCTAGAAATTGGGAGACTTGTTTCCAGGACATACAACCAAACAGACGTTGTTATATTTTGACCGTTAGATTGTAATATTTGCAATGTGTGTGCTCATTGCCTTATATAAAATTTCTAACGAAGAATGTGAGTGGTCATTATGCCTCGTAAAATTATTAACTGTCAGGGAACGTAACGGTACATGGCTCATGTTGTAGGCCTATGAGTAAAGATTCTTGCATCAAAATCCAAGCACAGATTCAGGTGAGAAACAAATTATCACCTTATACCCATCACGACCTTAATTTTCCTTAACATCTGTAACTAAAATCACAGTGACACTATTTAATATTAATACTTACTTTTTTTATTACTGGCAAAAAGCAAAACAAAACAATCATTCCCAGAACTAGGGACTAGAGCTGACACATTCAAGTCAAAAAAAAAAATTGCAAGGGAATATTTCACATTTGTATTTTTTTTTTCTATTATTTTTGAATATCCGGACTTCGGCTTTTCTTATCCAACTTTTTTTTTATAAACAGGTATCCGGCCTGTTGCAATGATCAACTATCATGATTCCCGAATCTTTTCAGTGGCTTTTTTCTCAGATGATAAAATTCATCAGCTAAATATTCATGAGGACAGATATAGTCAACCATGCATATTCTGAAATAATAACTCTTGGTACATGATAAAAAAAATAGCTATTCTGTCTTCACGGTACAGAAATAAAGGTCTTCGTCAAACAATAATTAGTACTTACCAGACTCACCAGTGAACAGAAGCCCTGTTTGTCACATTTTCTCAAAGACTTCCTGCCAAACCGAAAGTAAATGTGTTCCAAGATGAGCAAGATGATACTCAGAAGGACTCCAGCTCCCAGTAAGAGAAATGCTGATGTGAAATTCAAGATTCCTAATGTATGACTTGACACTCCTGATTCTTTCTTTTTATGGCATGCACCCACCAGCCAGAACTTCTGCAGGCGTTCAATCTCCCCTGTCAGAAGTTAAATACAAGCATATGGGACTGTTGCACACCGCCAGTGTGTACAGAAAATAGCTCTTGAACACACACAGAGATGAACAGATGCCTGCCACATGGACAGGGAAATACAAATTCTAGAAAATAATAAATATTGTTAAGGCAGAACAGAAGATGCCTTCAGTGATTTGTTTGAAGTTGATGTTTGAGGTTTGAACAACGGATCAATATCATGGCACACGGGTAACCTATAAGTGCTCCATTCTTCTTCTAACTTAAGTCTGAGTCTGAAGAAGCTCAGCACAGTGCACAGGCTCTGTAGCTCTGGCAAAGATCCTGAAATACTTTGGGCAGATTTGTAACTCCAAATTTTTCCCAGGCTGCGCCGTTAGTCTACTCTTTTCTGGTTACACCAAGGTGCCCCATTCTCTCCAGGCCATAATACTCTTCTTTCTCTACTGATTCCATTGCTTGTTCCCAAAAGGCCTTGTCATGTATAAATTTACCACCCAGTGGTGCGGATCCAGCCAATCTGTCTGCCTATGTATTACCCCCATACTGGCATGGCTGGAGAAAAGATCCAAAGTATGCTCACTACCCATGACCTTTCCAATGAAGCTTGCCACTTTGCTCGAAGCCTCCCTGTCTTCACCTTTCTCAGCATGCTTTCAGAGTCTGTTACAATTATGACATGTGTATGCATCTTGTTCTCTAGTCACCAGAGATCTGCAGTTACCGCCTCCACCACCATTCTTATGCTAGATGTTGTGGTGTCATCTGCTAGGCTGTCTTGCACTAAAGATATTTAACTGGCTTTCACTACGAACCCACAGGCACTTCTCTTTCTTTTCAGCACTGAACAATCTGTATAGATAACCAGATCACCTGGGCGTGAATTGTCATGAATCAACTGTTGGACTTCAACCTCTGTAGCACCCGCTGGCCACTCTCTGCACACTCGGCCCAATGTTATCCTAATCCTACACAGGTCAGACTTTTTCGTTGGTACTCTGACCCACTCCTCTTCCCGCCCAATGTTCTCCAGCATGCATACTTGTCTTATTGTGTCTTCTGCTTGAGCCATCCACGATTTTCCCTTTTCAGCCTCTGACCCTTACCTGCAGCTGTTATTTGATATAACCATTGAATGGGTGATGAATAGATGTTGTGCTGGAAACACTGGCATTGAGTGGGTGATGAATAGATGTTGTGCTGGAAACACTGGCATTGAGTGGGTGATGAATAGATGTTGTGCTGGAAACACTGGCATTGAGTGGGTGATGAATAGATGTTGTGCTGGAAACACTGGCATTGAGTGGGGTGATGGAATAGATGGTTGTGCTGGAAACACTGGCATTGAATGGGTGATGAATAGATGTTGTGCTGGAAACACTGGCATTGAATGGGTGATGAATAGATGTTGTGCTGGAAACACTGGCATTGAATGGGTGATGAATAGATGTTGTGCTGGAAACACTGGCATTGAATGGGTGATGAATAGATGTTGTGCTGGAAACACTGGCATTGAGTGGGTGGAGGACATTCAGTTGGAAGATTTCTATTTTGCTGATGATATTGTTGTGCTAAGTAACAACAGCAATGAAGTGTGAAGGAAAACAGATGAGTGAGCAAATCTAGCATCAAGGACTGGACTACCAATAAGTGATGACAAGACAAATATATTGAAGACACCAACAATAGATCAAGCAGATGTAACAAAGGTAATTACAGTAACAGAAAAGCTTGAAAAAAATATGCATTTCTAAGTTGTATGTATTTTCAGTTCTAATGTTATTTAAATTTTAACTTATGCAAGGAAAACTAGGGAACCAGTGAAGACATGGAACGAAGGTTAAATGCATTCAAAAACATATGTCTGAAAAAAAAAAAAAAACCAATGAAAATAAAATGAGATAAATTCAAAAGGAGTGAAGAAGTAAGAGAAAAGTCTGGGCAACCACTAGCATCAGCAGTTAAAAGACAAAGAAGATGGCGCTACATTGGACACATCCACTAGTATCAGCAGTTAAAAGACAAAGAAGATGGCGCTACATTGGACACATCCACTAGCATCAGCAGTTAAAAGACAAAGAAGATGGCGCTACATTGGACACATCCACTAGCATCAGCAGTTAAAAGACAAAGAAGATGGCGCTACATTGGACACATCCACTAGCATCAGCAGTTAAAAGACAAAGAAGATGGCGCTACATTGGACACAACCTGAGAAAAAACTGGCAGAGCATCACAAAACAAGCATTTACATGGGAAATAGAGGAATTAAGGAGGCGAGGATGCCCAAAGGAAACCCTAAGATGAATGTTAATGAGAGAGGCTGAAGCTGCCGGACTGGATTCCATCCATGATTTTGAACTGACTGCACAGGATGGAAGGGAAATGAGAAATAGACTACGAGCCTTTTCTGACATCTAATGGCACAACAGGATCGTGAATGAAGAAATGAGGCTCAAAAACTGTCCACAGAAGAATATGTTGTCTGTCACGTATAGGACAGTCCTAGGACAGTCCTAGTGTGTTAGTGGGGATTCCAGGGCCGCACTGTGTGAGAAAAAACATTTCAAAACCCCACGCCAACCCCACGTGCGCGTGTGCGCATGCACGTACGCACGCACGCACGCACAAACACAGACACAGTCACACAATTTTAAAAATGTGTAGCATACCTATATACACATTTGGATCGTTGCTGTTGCTAGAGAGTTTGTGCACTGTGCTGGTTGAATGTGACCATTTTGTTCCCAGGCACCTGCCTGTGTGTATGTGTGTGGGGTGTGTGTGTGGTGTGTGTGGTGTGTGTGTGTGGTGTGTGTGTGTGATGTGTGTGTGTGGTGTGTGTGTGGTGTGTGTATGTGGTGTGTGTGTGGTGTGTGTGTGGTGTGTGTGTGGGGTATGTGTGGTGTGTGGAGTGTGTGTGTGGGGTGTGTGTGTGGTGTATGTGTGTGGTGTGTGGTGTGTGGGGGTGTGTGTGTGTGTGTGTGTGTGTGTGGTGTGTGTGTGTGTGTGGTGTGTGTGTGCTGTGTGTGTGTGGTGTGTGTGTGTATGGTGTGTGTGTGCATGGTGTGTGTATGTGTGTGGTGTGTGTGGTGTGTGTGTGGTGTGTGTGTGTGGGGTGTGTGTTAATGGAGTGTGTGTGTGTGTGTGGTGTATGTGTGTGTGTGGTGTGTGTGTGTGGTGTATGTGTGTGTGGTGTGTGTGTGGTGTATGTGTGTGGTGTGTGTGTGGTGTGTGTGTGGTGTATGTGGTGTATGTGTGGTGTATGTGTGTGTGTGTGGTGTGTGTATGTGGTGTGTGTGTGTGGTGTGTGTGGTGTGTGGGGTGTGTGTGTGTGGGGTGTGTGTGTGGGGTGTGTGTGTGGTGTGTGTGTGTGTGTGTGTGTGTGGTGTGTGTGTGTGTGTGTGTGTGGTGTGGTGTGTGTGTGTGTGGTGTGGTGTGTGTGTGTGCTGTGTGTGTGGTGTGTGTGTGTGTATGGTGTGTGTGTGCATGGTGTGTGTATGTGTGTGGTGTGTGTGTGTGGTGTGTGTGTGGTGTGTGTTAATGGAGTGTGTGTGTGTGTGTGTATGTGTGTGTGTGGTGTGTGTGTGTGGTGTATGTGTGTGTGTGGTGTGTGTGTGGTGTATGTGTGTGGTGTGTGTGTGTGTGTGGTGTGTGTGTGGTGTGTGGTGGTGTATGTGTGTGTGTGTGGTGTGTGTGTGTGTGTGTGTGTGTGGCAATAACCTCAGTTATGAGAGACCACCTATTGAATTGAATCTACACATTCACTCACCACTTTCTTGCAGCTGTAGGATTGCTTTGTTGACGTCCTGCACCCATTGTGACCTTTTAGAAAATGCCAGACCATATCCTGTTTCAGCAATTCTCTTGCCTACAGTCTTCAGCTTACAGAAGTCATCTTTTCCAACCTCATACTCCAGTGTGGTTGAGTCATAGATGAATGCTTGAATATGTCTGCATTATTAACATAGGTGGAGAAAAGCTTAAATATGTCAGCATCATTAACATAGATGAAAACTTTAAATATTTACATCAATAACATAGACAGGCGAACACTTGAATATGTCTGTATCAAGAACATAGACTGATGAAAACTTGAATGTGTCTGTATCAAGAACATAGACTGATGAAAACTTGAATGTGTCTGTATCAAGAACATAGACTGATGAAAACTTGAATGTGTCTGTATCAAGAACATAGACTGATGAAAACTTGAATGTGTCTGTATCAAGAACATAGACTGATGAAAACTTGAATGTGTCTGTATCAAGAACATAGACTGATGAAAACTTGAATGTGTCTGTATCAAGAACATAGACTGATGAAAACTTGAATGTGTCTGTATCAAGAACATAGACTGATGAAAACTTGAATGTGTCTGTATCAAGAGCATAGACTGATGAAAACTTGAATATGTCTGTATCAAGAGCATAGACTGATGAAAACTTGAATATGTCTGTATCAAGAACATAGACTGATGAAAACTTGAATGTGTCTGTATCAAGAACATAGACTGATGAAAACTTGAATGTGTCTGTATCAAGAGCATAGACTGATGAAAACTTGAATATGTCTGTATCAAGAACATAGACTGATGAAAACTTGAATGTGTCTGTATCAAGAGCATAGACTGATGAAAACTTGAATGTGTCTGTATCAAGAACATAGACTGATGAAAACTTGAATGTGTCTGTATCAAGAACATAGACTGATGAAAACTTGAATGTGTCTGTATCAAGAACATAGACTGATGAAAACTTGAATGTGTCTGTATCAAGAACATAGACTGATGAAAACTTGAATGTGTCTGTATCAAGAACATAGACTGATGAAAACTTGAATGTGTCTGTATCAAGAACATAGACTGATGAAAACTTGAATGTGTCTGTATCAAGAACATAGACTGATGAAAACTTGAATGTGTCTGTATCAAGAGCATAGACTGATGAAAACTTGAATATGTCTGTATCAAGAGCATAGACTGATGAAAACTTGAATATGTCTGTATCAAGAACATAGACTGATGAAAACTTGAATGTGTCTGTATCAAGAACATAGACTGATGAAAACTTGAATGTGTCTGTATCAAGAGCATAGACTGATGAAAACTTGAATGTGTCTGTATCAAGAACATAGACTGATGAAAACTTGAATAAGTCCACATCAGTAAGCGTTTCCCTGTGTGGGTTCCAGGATCCATTGTAAGGAAAACAGACTGCCTGTCTGCCCAAAAGCATGTCATAAGAGTCGACTAACTGGGAGCTTCCTTCCAAGTAAGAGTACATCTGTCTGATAGGCAAGAAACCAACATTCTGCATACAGATGAGTCAGGCCTGTGAAATGGATGTGCACACAACCCAGTTTCTGGAACACGACTAGAGTCTAGAAGTGGACGAACAACCAGAACTTCCTCTGAAGTTTACACCGGTGAACACGAAAATGAAGAAGAAGAATATGTCTACATCATTAAATTAGACAGACGAACACTTGAATATATCTGCATCATTATCATTGACAGATTCAATATAACTGCCTCATTAACACAGTCCTTAAGAAAGAGAATAGGGGTTTTTAAGCTGAAATGCTTTAGAAAAATTCTCAAAATACTTTGGACAAAGAAGAGGAGAAATCTTGAAATATCTGAACATCAAGGAAGATTGGCATATAAGCAGCATCCTGTCTTGGAAGCTGAAATATTTTGGTCATATCAAGCACCACAAAAGATTGGAAAGAATTATAGCAGAAGGCATGGTACCAGGAAGGAGGAGCAGGGGCCGACCGATACGAAGATGGGCACAGGATATAAGTGACTCCTTATGAAAGTACATGAGGTGGGAGAGCTGGTGAGGGACCAAGTTTCTTTCAGGCAGACCGTGATGAGAGCAACGTTCTGCAAAGAACCTGCTACATGATGATGATGATAGTAACACAGACATATGAATGCTTGAATATTTCTACACCATTAACATGGACAGATGAAAGTTTGAATACATCAACATCAATAACATAGACAGATGAATGCTAGAATATGTCTAAACCAATAACATAGACAGATAAACACTTGAATATGTCCACATCCATAACATAGACAGATGAACACTCGAATATGTCCACATCCATAACATAGACAGATGAACACTCGAATATGTCCACATCCATAACATAGACAGATGAACACTTGAATATGTCTACATCAATAACATGAGATGGCTTTTCACTTCAGCCAGAGCATAAAAACAGCTCCAGTACCCTGTACAGGGTGGGTTCACAGCTACCTAATCCCACTAAAAAACTTCAATATATCTGCCTCATTACCTCAGACAGATGAACACTTGAATATGTCCACATTAATAACATAGACAGATGAACGCTTAAATATGTCCACATCAATAACAGAGACAAATGAACACTTGAATATGTCCACATCAATAACATAGACACATGAACACTTGAATGTGTCCACATCAATAACATAGACACATGAACGCTTGAATGTGTCCACATCAATAACATAGACAGATGAACACTTGAATGTGTCCACATCAATAACATAGACAGATGAACACTTGAATGTGTCCACATCAATAACATAGACACATGAACTCTTGAATATGTCCATATCAATAACATAGAATGCCTTTCCCTGAGGGTTGACCAATCTAGACACTGTCATGCTGGATGGCTCCAGGGGCAGCACCTATAAAAAAGGGACAAGATGACAAAAAAAGGCTAAGATTTGCCCCACAAAACCAATCAGGTAGGTTAACCTAGTGAACAAATGCTCGATAAAGTCAGTTGTGTTGGCTGAAAGATGCAAATATAGCAAATCTCTCATAAGCAGACACAACACAGTGACATCACTCAGATCAACAAACAGCAGATCAACAAACAGCAGTTCAACAAACAGCAGATCAATAAACAGCAGATCAATAAACAGCAGATCAACAAACAGCAGATCACCAAACAGCAGATCAACAAACAGCAGATCAACAAACAGCAGATCAACAAACAGCAGATAAACAAACAGCAGATCAACAAACAGCAGATCAACAAACAGCAGATCAACAAACAGCAGATCAACAACTAGCAGATCAACAAACAGCAGATCAACAAACAGCAGATCAACAAACAGCAGATCAACAAACAGCAGATCAACAAACAGCAGATCAACAAACAGCAGATCAACAAACAGCAGATCAACAAACAGCAGGTCAACAAACAGCTGATTAACAAACAGCAGATCAACAAACAGCAGAAGAAGCAGAATCTTCCCTTTTTCTGGATCCCTAATAGTCTCAGAATTTTACAGCAGACAATGTAATCATAGCAATGTCATTGCCCAGAGAAGACATTATGTCCATATGTTTGTAGCACACGTATGAAGGATTTGATGTTAACATGTTTGTAACACATGTATGAAGGATATGATGTTAACATGTTTGTAGCACACGTATGAAGGATATGATGTTAACATGTTTGTAGCACACGTATAAAGGATATGATGTTAACATGTTTGGCTGTGAATGATATCAACTTGGCCATACCCTTTCTTCAAATTCTGGATGGCATCCTTGACATCTGTCTGTGGCTCAGACTTCATGTAACGATGGATCTCCTTGTAGTTTTTCTCAATGTTTGCATCAGTAGACGAGTTGGCAATGGTTGCAAACTTGAATGGTGGGTGTCGGTGGTGAGGATTTTTTAACTGTAGAATCAGTGATCAAACAACAATGAAGTGCTATCAAGTATCAATCTACTGATATTATTACTGCACACACAGAAGAACAATTCATTGAATTATTGCTAGCTAGCTGTAGATTGAAATTCCTTATCTGGTTAAAGATGGGCCAGCAGTAAAACATATGTTTTACAAATGGACAAGTCTGTAGCTGGTCTGATCTCATGAGGTCATAGGGACACTGTCTTTTGTCTTTTTCATTCACCCTTAAAAGGGTGGTTGGCATATTGTGTTGTGGGTTTTCAGCTAGACTATGATATCTGTGCCTTTTGGCCCAACACAGCAGATGTTTGCCAAAACTTAATTAGTCATCTTTAAGGGGTAGTGGGTCTCTCACCCCCCCACCTAAATGGGGTCCAGAACCCATACAGAGAGACACTGTTCAATCTGTTAATCTCATGATGTGTTTTCAGTTCTCTGTCTACATCCTTGTATGCAGCAGTGGTAATGAAATGTCTAGCACACCTGTCTGCTGTCTTGGTGTGTGATCCTGTCCTGTCTCATATGGCTACTACCAGCCAGGACTTTCTGCTGGATTTCACAGCCGGTGAACGCAATTGAGAAAAAAAATGAAGAAATGAGTACCAGGAAATGTTTTAGGAAGTAAAAGGGCATGATACAGACAATATGTTGCATGATACAGACAATATGTTGCATGATACAGACAATATGTTGCATGATACAGACAATATGTTGCATGATACAGACAATATGTTGCATGATACAGACAATACGTTGCATGATACAGACAATATGTTGCATGATACAGACAATATGTTGCATGATACAGACAATATGTTGCATTAAGTTCTAATTGGTCTGTACCAAATACCCAGCATGTTTTAGCATCTGATGGCTGTCTGAGGAAATGACTAAAAGTGCCAGCTGTTAACTGAGGACTGCTACCTGTTCGACTTGTACACAGAACAGTGATAGGCATTTTGTGTGGTTTTTACTGGCACAGGAATAAAGGAATTGTGGGGTGATCTGTTGCTGTGAAATTGAAATCCAAACCAACCATTTTCACAATTTACTTTAAAAAAGGAAACACATACTACTAGTTACTGTCTAGTTACTTCTGTAAGAAAGTTTCATTTGATGACAAGCATAACCAGGAAGCGGCGTGATGCCGACCACATCACCCATCTTGTACCATTGGTCTATAAAATATAGCACTAGCCCTATATGCCCTATACGCCTAAAGGCATGGAAAAGGGTCAACTTTTTTTTTTTTACTTATAACCAGCAAGAAAACAATAGAAAGAGTTTATAAAAAATAACCAGCATGATTACTGGCTTTTGATCATCGATTCTAAATACCAGATTTTCAGGCTGAAAGGGTTACTAAAACAATCATCAAGTGCCTTGCTTATTAGTGTGGGCGATCATGTCTCTCCACAGTTTGGATTTGAACTGTGTGAATCAGTTCGTGGTGACATCCCTCTATGCCATGACAAGAAGCTGTCAAGAATTTCCTCACGTTGTCTTCCTCTGTCTATCTTTCTACACATCTTTCCAGTGGTTACAACATTTTCATTTTCCCTCTTCTCATGACAAATAATAATAACTGGCTCTGTCTGATGTTTGTGATAAGCATGGATTTTTTGCACTTCTGTCTTCCCATCATTGACAGAAGTGCAATAAATCTTTGTCTCTGGAGGTTTTGACAAGAATTCTCACATGCTTTATAAAGCCAGTTTAAACATACGGCTGTGAAGCCTGGACAATTAATAAACAAGACCAAACAACTTCTTGAGGCCTCGGAAATGTGTTTTTTTTTTCATAAAAAATCCTTAGAATTTCTTGAAGAGCCAAAAAGAGCAACTCAAGTGTTTTTAAAGAGCCGAGGTCCATTTGTGCACTTTCTACCATAAAAAAATCTATAAATCACTATAGTTCTTTTGCTAAAACAATGCATTCACTTAACTTTAAAATAGCTAATCATTTGTATAAATTTGTTACAATCTGTAGTATTTTATCTAAAATTATAGACAAAATAATAGTTGACAAATATGAACATTAATTAATTCTGCCACAGCATGCTCTTTAACCTTGGCAGTTAATGGATATAATGACATTTTTTTGGCCTGTGAAGCACAGCATCAGTTGATGACCTACCCTCCAGTCTTGGATACCACTGAGGTCATAGAAATCATCTTTGGTGATCATGAAAGCGGCCAGGTTGGCAGTGTAGGAAGCACAGAACACCACCGCAAACAATGCCCAAATGTTGGCCAGGAATCGACTGGCAATTCCACGTGGCTGGTCCGTGGTGACACTAGCTCCAAAGAGCATTGACCAAATCAACCAGAATGAGCGGAATAGTGAGAACTTGTGCACTGTTGGAGATGTGTAGAAAACTGATTGAGTCTACATGTTCTAGTCCATGAAGACGACACTACCATGAATTTTTAAAGGATACTGGTAATTTTAAAACACATCTTGGGGAACAGATAGAAAACAAAGTAATATTGCAGAATAACACACCAACAAATATAGAGGTTTAATCAGCATTACATTATCAGACACAAACCGAATGAAGTAATACTGCAGTAATCCTATGACACAGATCAAAGTTTAATCAAAATCAAAAGGACAAAATCTATACATTGAACAGATTTGTGACATTTATTACAAAGGTGGATCTTCACAAAGTGGAATTACTTCCAACATTGAAACACCTACATTCAAAATGTCCACCTTCCCCTGTGTGTTCTGGGTCCCCATTTTAGGGAGCAAGAATAGACCCCCTGCCCCACTACACAGGTCATAGAAGGGGACCAATTAGGGCTGCTTCCTTCCAAGACTGCATCTGCTTGAGATCTAAGTAACCAACAGTTCGCATACAAATATGTCAGAAGTGGGAGTTCAGCTAGAAATTTCTATTGCAGTGTACAGTTGGTGAACAGTGTACAGTTGGTGAACAGTGTACAGTTGGTGAACAGTGTACAGTTGGTGTACAGTTGGTGAACAGTGTACAGTTGGTGAACAGTGTACAGTTGGTGAACAGTGTACAGTTGGTGAACAGTGTACAGTTGGTGAACAGTGTACAGTTGGTGAACAGTGTACAGTTGGTGAACAGTGTACAGTTGGTGAACAGTGTACAGGTGGTGAACATGAAGAAAACTAAAAAAAATAAAAAATAAAATAAAGTGTCTGTCATCAGTTAATTATCTTTTCCCCTACTCTGCATTTATTTTTTTGAAAAATTATTTGCGTACCATCTAACTAAATAAAAATCCAAAAATCACACATCACTGATTGCAAGCATACCACACAACACAATCTCACATAGTATATGTGATTGAAGGTCAGTAAAAGCATACAAACTAGTTTACTCACCACTGACTGCAAGCATACTACACAACACAATCTCACATAGTATATATGATTGTAGGTCAGTAATAGCACACAAACTAGTTTACTCACCACTGACTGCAGCTAACTAAACAAACAATCTCAAAAGTCAGTAATAGCGCACAAACTAGTTTACTCACCACTGACTGCAAGCACACTACACAACACAATCTCACATAGTATATATGATTGTAGGTCAGTAAAAGCACACTAACTAGTTTACTCACTACTGACTGCAAGCACACTACACAACACAATCTCACATAGTATATGTGATTGTAGGTCAGTAATAGGACACAAACTAGTTTACTCACCACTGATTGCAAGCATACTACACAACACAATCTCACATAGTATATGTGATTGTAGGTTAGTAATAGCACACAAACTAGTTTACTCACCACTGACTGCAAGCATACTACACAACACAATCTCACATAGTATATATGATTGTAGGTCAGTAATAGGACACAAACTAGTTTACTCACCACTGACTGCAAGCATACTACACAACACAATCTCACATAGTATATATGATTGTAGGTCAGCGCACAAACTAGTTGACTCACCACTGACTGCAAGCATTCTACACAAACTAGTTTACTCACCACTGACTGCAAGCATACTACACAACACAATCTCACATAGTATATGTGATTGTAGGTCAGTAACAGCACACAAACTAGTTTACTCACCACTGACTGCAAGCATTCTACACAAACTAGTTTACTCACCACTGAAAGAGGTCTTGCCCTGATTCAATCCATAAGGGCTCAACCATTCAAAGATGAACATGGAAGCTCCTGTAGCATGCACGCTGAACACAAGAATCAGGCTCCAAGAAGGATAATCATATGGTTCTAATGGCAGATCAATTTTATAAGAGCTAGGAAGTGTTATGAGTTTGTTATATCCTAGTTATGATTGTAAGTATATTATAAAAGAACATTATCTATAATTACAATGGCAGCTCCAGTCCCTGTTCTCATACTGAAGGTGAAGGTTTTTATTTGAGATGGTTCATTGTGCTCAGAACTGATTCTGCATATCACACTAGTCCAAAACCACCAACCTTATGTGTGGTTGTACAGCCCAGTTGCATCCTTGGACACCACAGCGTCAACAAACTAGGATGAGTAACTCTCTTCATCTTCTACTTCTGCACTTTATGCCCCCAAACGAGCATAAGGGCCTCAAACCAGCTGACTCATGCAAGTTGTCCTATCTGTTGCTATCACAAGCATCTCACCTGATGTCCTCCCCATCTTTTTAACTTCAAGCTCCAGCCCCATATTCCATGTGTTCTTTGGTCTGCCATTATTTCTATGCCCCTGTGGGTTACAGTGTAAAGCCATGTTAGTTACATTGTTGTCACTAACAACACAAGACCAGACAGGGTTACCAATACCAGCATTAGAGAAAAATTTGGAATAAGACAATGTCTGGATTATACTGACAGACAAACAATGAAATTGTTCAGCTATCTAGTGAGAATGCAGCCAGACCAGACTGCGTATGAGACTTTTTAAAGCAGAACATCTGGGAGGAAGGTGAGAGGAAGACCAAGAAAGAGACGGATAAATGGTGTAGATGAAACCTGCAAAAATATGAACAAATTCATCACTCAAGTCACCTGAGAAGCGCAAGACAAATACAGAAAACCACGACACTGGGCTACAACCTGGTATCAGTGAGATGACAAAATAAGAAGAAAGAAGAAAAAGAGGTTATATTGTTCCAAGGTTTTCTCAGTATGTGTTCTATACATCACCAGAGTTGTTTCTTTCCTTCTTGATTCAATAGCATTTGTTTAGTACTCTCCAAACGCTCATTAGTAAATCAATCAATTCCCTCAAGCAACTCTCGTCAAGTCGTCCAATCCTTTATTACAGCACACAGCTTACCCCCCATTCTCCCTATCTTATTAACCCAACTCTCTGGATCCTTTCTCTATGTTCTTATTGGTCTGTCTTTATTTCTATGCCCCTGGATTCCCGTGCAAAGACATTCTAGCTATATTGTTCTCATCACATGTCCTTTTTAACATCAGCATCTTTTATTTACCTATCAGTTTTCTAGAGTTTGTTTATTTTTCTCCTAAAGCTCTACCACAGCTCTACAACAGCTCTACAACAGCTCTAAAACAGCTCTACAACAATTCTACAACAGCTCTACAACAACAGTTCTACAACAGCTCTACAACAACAGTTCTACAACAGCTCTACAACAGTTCTACAACAGCTCTACAACAGCTCTACAACAGCTCTACAACAGCTCTACAACAGCTCTACAACAGCTCTACAACAGTTCTACAACAGCTCTACAACAGTTCTACAACAGCTCTACAACAGCTCTACAACAGCTCTACAACAGTTCTACAACAGCTCTACAACAGCTCTACAACAGTTCTACAACAGTTCTACAACAGTTCTACAACAGTTCTACAACAGCTCTACAACAGTTCTACAACAGTTCTACAACAGCTCTACAACAGTTCTACAACAGCTCTACAACAGTTCTACAACAGTTCTACAACAGTTCTTCAACAGTTCTACAACAGCTCTACAACAGTTCTACAACAGTTCTACAACAGTTCTACAACAGTTCTACAACAGCTCTACAAACATGATTCCATTTAATTCCGTCTATTCTATGAAGTTTGAGAAACACTGCTCTAGGGTATCTGCCTCATTATAACAATGTGACATGTCTAGTGTATGGTTTTCTTAACTTCATGATTACTGTGATCTGTTTGTTGATACAAATACTTGACAATGCTGGAGAGAATTCTGACATTAGTTGACTGATGACAAATTATTTACACTAAGTGTAGATAGTCAGTGGTAAAGAAACTTCTTCTTAGTATTCAACAACTGATAACTCCAGCAGAAAGTCATGACTGTCTGCTTGTAAACTTTGGCTGTGTTCCAGGTCTTGAGTGTTGCATGCACATTGATTATCAAGATCTAGCTGATTTGTGTGCAGACGTTGGTTCCTTGCCTTTCAGGCACATGTACTCTGACTTTGGAGGAAATGTTGGTACTATATAAATTGGCCAGACATCTGGTAGAGAACCTGTTCTTAGGATGAGCTCGAAGAGTGTAGATAGGTCGTGACCAGTATTTGCTCTGGTGATGAAGAAACAATTCTCAGGATTTCAGACTTGTGGTTATAAGAACTACAACTATGAATTGTTTTCAGCCATGTTTGTTTGATAAAACACAATTGTACTGCCCTTACAGAAACAGTGAAGACAAGAGTACTTGGTCACCTAGAAATGCTGTCGGTGAAATGACTCCCTCTCTGATGGCCACGATGATGGATATTCCCGTCTGCAGGAAGGGAACTGAGAAATCCACTGCAGCAGCCCTTTCTGGTGTTATTGACAGAGCTCCAAGAGCCATATCAGCTTTGTTGTGAATCAACATTCCCAGCATTCCATTCCAGTCAGTGAAGTTTTTCTGTGAATAAAGTCACACAGACACTACAGCTAATGTTAGTGAGATTATCCCAGGGAGTCAAATCAAATATTAACTGAAGACAATGAATTATACAAACAGCAGCTAACAGTCTAAGAATAAGTCGGACTTGATACTGCAAATGTGAGTGACCTCCTCAAGCAATACAGTAATGGTTGGTAAAGTGCTCTACTGAAAGACGCTGGAGCTAGGAGACTAATAAAGACTCAGATAACAACTACCACAACAATGACAAGCTCATCTAAACTCTATTCTGATGTAAACCAGTAAGAATATAAGAATTTGTAAAAGCCAATAACTCAGTTACACAATCCAGCTACACAATCAATAGGAATCAAGGCAACAACGGAGCAAATACCAACTCACAAACAATAATGACCTCAAACTAATCAATGAGCTAGAACTCCAAGATAAGCTTCAAACAACTAGCCTTAGTAAATTATGCTGGTGCTGTTCAGAGTGACTTCCTGGCCATTCATGCCCCTTTAGGTCACTGGACCTCTCTTATGTTGCAGGGGAGTCATGTTTTCCATATTGTGAATGGTTTAAAAACTGCCTCTTTTCTCGTCTTCTCATCGCTGGCTTGCGTGATTATTTTCACGTTCTGCTACCTGTGCCATAATTCAGGAGTATGGAAATAGCAATATTTTTGTATTCTTATGCTCCTTATAACTGCCTTTTTTTCTTTGGGGGCAAAGCCACTTCCAATGAATGTAGAAAAACAAAAACATTATAGTTTCAGCAGCAAAAAATCGTCACACCTGCGGTGCTTCCCCTGCAGGAATTCTTACTTATACACAGGAGCCTGGAGCGCCTGAAATAGACTCATACCCAACAACCTCCCACAACATTACATACACCGAGTGAACGCCAAACCAAGCCATATCACAACACCCTTGCAACATAGGAGAGGTCCAAGAGGCATGACTGGCAGGGGAAGTTACTCTAGTCCTGGGCCTGGAAACATCAACAGGACCGTTATGCTATTTCATGGAAAATACAAGGATATATTATGATTACAAAACAAATGAGGCTATTCTATAACCTCAACAAATTTATCCAGAATAGCTGTATGTCAGCATCTTTATGCTCTAGACCTGGTTTGGACTAAAACAATTAGACAGAGCCTCACACATGGATATAAATGGATGAATTTGATCAATCGATTGGTTTATCCCCTCCCAGCTGCTACTTAAAAGTTTACCATACCTTCCTGAGATGAAAAAAACTCAGCCTGGACGGCAAACTAAAAAGGTAAATTCTCCGTTCAACTTCTAAAGAAGTTATAATTAGGGCACATATAACAGCCACACCCACCAGGTGTCAGTCTGGCTTGTCAGCTTAAATTCCACCACCTGCCATAGCTACTAGTTACTTCCGGGTCAACCGACTGAAGTCATTCTAGACAGTGTCCTCTACCTAGATTTTCGAACAATAACAAAACTTGTCAATGAATGAACCGGTGCTCATTCACACATCTGGTCTGGTACAAAATGAGGACACAAGTCTTACTTATTTGCAATGAAAGCATTCACATATACTTTACTTAATAATTTATGAATGAAATAATAGAAAAATTATAGCCAAAATTACACGGACAATAATGACAAATGTTAAGAAGATTTACGGCTAAGGTCAGGCAAAGATAAACCAACAATGACGTCTCCAGTACAGATTGTGGATGGCCTGTTGGGAATGTTAAACCTTCTTTGGTGGTAAAACAATGGATTCCAAGAGCATATTACATGATTTAGTCTCCCTTTAGATTAAATTTATTCCTGGATAAATATCAGCTAAAAAAAGGCACAGACGGACAGTTAGTTACATTGAGTGGGCTTCCATAGCCTCCATCTGAGACTTCAGACAACTCAACCTGAAAATGGAGCATCTCACTCAGCCTCATGAGTAGGTCGATGCACAGCCCTGTACAGCACACGTCTTTGGTTCCATGTTGAGTCTGGGGAGTCAGAACAAATTGTTGCATGTTCATGCAGTTGTAAGTCAGACACAGATTGTTGCATGTTCATGCAGTTGTAAGTCAGTCACAGCTTGTACCACTCCTGACAATCCTAGCCCCAAGTAAAAACATTGTTATTTCATTTGCTGTTAACTGACTTCACAGCTTTTCACTGGCTTCAGCAAACAATGATGGTTTATTCAATCACGTCACCAATTTACTACTTAGAATTCTAATAAAAAGAACAAGGAAAAAAAAAGGAATGGAAATGAGTGAAGAACAGTATGGATTTAAGGATAGTTAAGGAACAAGAAATGCAATATAGATATTAGAAGACCTGATCAATGAACATACAAAAGGACTTATATTTGTGCTTTATAGATTATACCAAAGCATGTGACAAAGTTTAGCATGAGGAGGTAATAAAAATGTTGGAAGACATCAATGTAGATGGGAAAGATCTCAGAATAATTAACAACATTTGCTGGAACCGGGTAGCAACAGTTACAGTGGGAAAAAGATTGGGTACTTTTGAACAGATAAAGCCATGAGTATGACAGGGATGTTTCTTACCCCAGACCTTTTCTCTCTTGATAGTAAAGTAATTCTGAGGGAAATTAAAGAGAAAGCGGGAATAAGAATTGGAGGATACAATATAAACAATTTGCCTTATGCAGATGATATATTTTAAATAACTGAAAACGCAGCTTATTTACAACTGCTAGATATTGTGGGGATCAAGAGTGTTAAAAAAACACTTTCCTGAAATATTAAGAAAACAGAAGTAATGGTGTTATCAAAGAAGAAGATACCACCACGTTGTGAGATCTCAATTGAAGGGAAAAAGCTTAACCAAGTCAATGAATTGAAATATCTGGGAACAGTCATATCCTCAGATGGAAAATGTGTGACAGAGATTAAAAGCAGAATAGGTCAAACGAAAACAGCATTTCAGAAAATGAAAAATATTTTATGCAATAAATCACTTTAATTTAATGTCAGAAAGAGGCTGCTAAAATGTTACATAGAACCTGTTTTGCTGTATGGCAGTGAATCTTGGAATGTCAGTGAACAAATTAGGAAGAATTTGGAAGATACAGCAATGTGGTGTTTAAGATGAATATACATTGGACGGCCAGAGTAACTAACAACAATATTTTGAAATAAGCTCATGAAAGCAGATCTCCAACTACAAAAAAAAAAAAAAGGAGACAAACACTGTTCTTTGGCCACGTAATGAGAAGCGAGGCATTGAAAAACATCGTGTCAACTGGAAAGATCAGTGGAAAGAAGGGTAGAGACAGACCAAGAGAGATAATGCTGGATGGGCTGAAACGATGGCATGGAGGGATATCATCAAGAGAGCTGTTCCAGGCAACCAGGGATTGTGATCTGTTAAAGTGCATGAGCGCCTATGCCAGTTGGCAGGGCACATGATGATGATCAGTGCCAGTTAGGACAAAGACCACAGGTTCAAATCTAGACAGTTTGGCTGAGAGGTCCTACTGTTTACCTCCAATTCAGAAATGTCCAAGCTTACACCAAGCATAAGGATGGGCGTCTTCCCAAGGTCTAGCCAAATTCTGTGCATGGTAAGAATCAAAGCTGAGCTTTGCAAAAAGCAAACAAGCTGCTCTTGAAAAGGTCTGACCGTGGTAAACAGAGCTCAGCACTTGGGATGGAAACTGATGGGAGGATACATACTTGCATGTCTGTTTTAGACACACTGTCAGCTGAGTTGGTGAGGTGTAAAACTGAATGTGACACACTTCCATCACAGAGGTGTATAACTGAATGTGATACACTTCCATCACAGAGGTGCATAACTGAATGTGACACACTTCCATCACAGAGGTGTATAACTGAATGTGACACACCTCCATCACAGAGGTGTATAACTGAATGAGACACACTTCTATCACAGAGGTGTAAAACTGAATGTGACACACTTCCATCACAGAGGTGTATAACTGAATGTGACACACTTCCATCACAGAGGTGTATCACTGAATGTGACACACTTCTATCACAGAGGTGTAAAACTGAATGTGACACACTTCCATCACAGAGGTGTATAACTGAATGTGACACACTTCTATCACAGAGGTGTATAACTGAATGTGACACACTTCCATCACAGAGGTGTATAGCTGAATGTGACACACTTCCATCACAGAGGTGTATAACTGAATGTGACACACTTCCATCACAAAGGTGTATAACTGAATGTGACACACTTCCATCACAGAGGTGTATAACTAAATGTGACACACTTCCATCACAGAGGCGTATTAATGAATGTGACACACTTCCATCACAGAGGTGTATTAATGAATGTGACACACTTCCATCACAGAAGTGTATAACTGAATCTGATACACTACTTTTCAGAGGTGTGCAGCTAGCTAGGACATGCTTCCTTTAAGGATAAAGACAAATGTTGACTCTCAATGTTATCTTATCAAAAAGGGAATAAAACTGTGCACTTAAACATTGTTATGCAGTTATTTTGAAATTTCACTGAACTATAATTCAGTTTGTCAGCTCTGCGGCTAAGTCGATGCGATCCCAGTTGCGGGCTTTGCGCCTTGCGTTGGTTTCGACAGCGGTATCAAGAAAGCTGACCGCCCAGAAAGCAATGGCAAACTACTGGACATAAATTTGCCTAGAAAAACCACACGACAGCCAGGGGCTGCTGGTGTTGGTTCTGCAATGTCCTGTAAAGGATACACAACTAACCTAATAATTCAGTTTGCTGTGTTATCATCTTGATTTATGACATACTGGGAACTGATTGATGTTGCAAACCCTGGTATATTCACCTGGTATATTCACCTGGTATATTCACCTTGTATATTCACCATTAATACACAAGGAAAACAAAGATTATGTCACAACCATGAGCTTGGTGTCAGCTAGAGAACAATTCTTGCAAGAGATCTTAGATGTGCTCTTCCTGTAGAGACCAGACAAATGACAAAGACAGATGGGTGTCATTTCTCCAGCTTGGCAGAGCTCCAAAGTTTCCAGTGTTGGTTCCATGGTCTCATGGCAGTCAAGTGTCCAGTGTTGGTTCCATGGTCTCATGGCAGTCAAGTGTCCAGGTTACAATCAAGTTTATCACAGCTAATCATCTGCAGGGAGGAAGTTAATGATGTTCACTTTCTGTCTTCTTGTGGGTTCTTTACTTATTTACTTTGCTTATTTACTTTACTTTTTTACATTACTTTATTTACTTTACTTATTTACTTTACTTTTTTACTTTACTTATTTACTTTACTTTTTTACTTTATTTGTTTACTTTACTTTTGTATTTTACTTATTTACTTTACTTTTTTACTTTACTTTTTTGCTTTACTTTTTTATTTTACTTATTTACTTTACTTTTTTACTTTACTTATTCACTTTACTTATTTACTTTACTTATTACTTTACTTTTGTATTTTACTTATTTACTTTCCGCCTTTACTTTACTTTATTACTTTTTTATTTTTTAATTATTTACTTTACTTTTTTACTTTACTTATTTACTTTACTTTTTCCTTTACTTATTTACTTTACATTTTTAATTTTACTTATTTACTTTACATACAGGTGTTTTTCAGCAAATTTGGCACACTGAAATTGTTCCACAAAGCCTCAAGGACAAATCAATAATACACCTCTACAAGCAGAAAGTGAATCGCCAGGATTGCAACAATCACTGTGGCATATCCCTGCTATCAATCGCCAGGATTACAACAATCACTGTGGCATATCCCTGCTATCAATCGCCAGGATTGCAACATCACTGTGGCATATCCCTGCTATAAATCGTCAGGATTGCAACAATCACTGTGGCATATCCCTGCTATAAATCGCCAGGATTGCAACAATCACTGTGGCATATCCCTGCTATCAATCGTCAGGATTGCAACAATCACTGTGGCATATCCCTACTATAAATCGCCAGGATTGCAACAATCACTGTGGCATATCCTTACTATAAATCGCCAGGATTGCAACAATCACTGTCGCATATCCCTGCTTCAATCACCAGGATTACAACAATCACTGTGGCATATCCCTGCTATCAATTGCCAGGATTGCAACATCACTGTGACATATCCCTGCTATCAATCATCAGGATTGCAACAATCACTGTGGCATATCCTTGCTATGAATCGCCAGGATTGCAATAATCACTGTGGCATATCCCTGCTATCAATCACCAGGATTGCAACAATCACTGTGGCATATCCCTGCTATCAATCGCCAGGATTGCAACAATCACTGTGGTATATCCCTGCTATCAATCACCAGGATTGCAACAATCACTGTGGCATATCCTTACTATCAATTGCCAGGATTGCAACAATCACTGTGGCATTTTCCTGCTATCAATTGCAAGAAAAATATTTCAAAGAATAGGCTATTCTCCGAATAACAGTCCCAAATTATCGAAGCCGAAAATAACCCTAACCCTAACAGGGCCCCAGTCACATGTTAACTGCAGACTTGCGGACTCAGCAGCTCAAAATGAAAACCAAAATGAAGGTATAGAGCTGTAGTGCTTCCAGTGCTGCTGTATGCTTGTGAAACTTGGACTGCATACAGACATCAGGCACACACAAAACTCAACCGCTTCATTACAGTCTGTCTGAGAAAGATACTAAATATTAAATGGCAAGACATGTTCCGGACAATGTCGTCAAGAACAGTGCTGGCATTCCCAGCATCAAAACCATCCTGATGCAATCATAGATTTGATGGGATGGCCATATTGTTCAATTGCCTGACTATCGGCTCCCAAAAAATAATCTTCTATGCTGAGATACACGAGAGTAGATATTCTCACTGTGGCCAGAAACAATGCTTCAAGAGCACATTAAAAGCATCATTGAATGCCTTCAGTATAAACCCTGACACCTGCAGCACGCGACGGGACTTTATGACGCACATATATCCAAAACGGTGCAAACAATCTGCGAGGCATCTAGAACAAGGGAAGGTGAAAAGCGAAGACTGGCCAGAAAGACCTGCCAAGCTTTTTATCTACAGACACTGTGCCCTTCCTTCATTGTCCTAGACTCTTCCAGGCCCACACTGGACTTATACCTCACGTCCCGATTCAGAAACATTCAGTTCATGATGGATGAAGGAAAGAGTGGTCCTCATCCCTTGTGATGGTTCAACCACACCAACATTACTTACAGGTGAAATACACTGGTAGTCAAGGCAACAGAACCGGGAACAAAGACAGATGCCTGGTAGTCAAGAAGGTGAAAGATTCTCTGACAATGGAGACTCTGTCTGATGATAGTTCTGTTTTTTATAATAAGTTTATGATAAGTTTCTGAGAAGTGTTCTGTCTGATGATAGTTCTGTTTTTTATAATAAGTTTATGATAAGTTTCTGAGAAGTGTTCTGTCTGATGATAGTTCTGTTTTGTTTATAATAAGTTTATGATAAGTTTCTGAGAAGTGTTGTGTCTGATAATAGTTCTGTTTTTTAATAATAAGTTTATGATTAGTTTCCAGTCTGAGAGGAGAAATCTGGTCCATGGAAGTGAGCCTGCAAGACAAACAATGTTTCCAGTCTAAGAGGAGAAACCTGGTCCATGGAAGTGAGCCGCCCATCTCTCTAGCGTAGTTGGCTAAACCGGATTGTGCGGTGAGTGGGTGACGAACTCTTTGTGGTCCGGGTTCACTCCCGGGGGGTAGGCAGAAAAGCCATATTTCTCCCAGATTTACGGTATTTAAAATGGAATCAAGGCCGAAAGGTTGCGATATTCATAATACTGAGCCTAAGGGTTAACAACTCATGGCTTCTGGATACTAAAAAAAAAAAAAAAACGTAAGTGAGCCTGCAAGACGAACAATGGGGCACTGATGACCACATCAAGCAAACAGTTCTGTGTGTTCCCTAGCTGCCGTAGATGCATAAAAAACATTGAGCACTAAAGAAGAAGTGCCTAGTTTCACACTTTCTATAAATTTCTATGCAGGAAGAGCACAAAACCAGACTACCTGTGCAACTGCTTGTTTCTCAGGTAAACTGTACAAGGTAAAGAGTTGGTGCTGCATGTCTCTGAGGCTTCACCTGTGCTGTTGATCTTTTCGCTGTAGATGACATGAGGTTCCTCCCTCCAGGTAACAACTCTGAGCACATATTTCTCAGGTTTTCCCTTGGGAGGTGTAGATTTGCCTGCAGGCCACATAATACCAGCCATTGACAAATTGTGGCCATTCCACTCAGCGATCTGGAGACAAGATAATCACAATTCACAAAACAGAAAAGTATATCATCAAGTATAAATGGCACAACAAGATGATGATGACATAATCAAGTGTGAACATCTCAGTTCTGTATTTCTGAAACACATGTAGCCAGCACAGTGTGACAAATGGCCCTGAACCACACATTTTATAGAAGTCCTATCTACATTTCCTCTTAGAGATTATTTGCTTCATGTCTGTTTTTGTTGTGGCTCTTTGACCTGAACGTTTGTTGTACTTATCAGAAGTACCTGGTACCAGTGTTCGGCTGGGTTAACCTCATAGCCAAGGTCAATCAGAATTCAAACCCATGACCTTTGGGTCAGCAGGTGGAGTATCTAGCCACCACACCACTCTGACTCCCTGTCAGTTCTTGGCTAACCCATTAATTAATTTATGATGCAGTATATCTGTGACAGATTTTAACACTGACATAATTTACATAGGACTGACAAACACTGACATAACTAACACAGGACTGACCAAAACTGACATACCTAACACAGGACTGACCAAAACTGACATACCTAACAAAGGACTAACCAACGCTGATATAACTAACACAGAACTGACCAAAATTGACATGATTACCACATGAGTGACCAACACTGATAAAACTAACACAAATCACAGATATGACCACCAGTGCCATAACACAGATCTGATCAACAATTTCATTCACATAAAACAAAAGTGACCAACCAACACTGAAATAACTAACTGACTGCTGACCAGCACTGAGAAAATAAATACAGAACTGACCAACACTGACATAATTATCACAGGATTGACCATACCTGACATAACTAACACCAGGACTGACCAACACTGACATAACTAACAGAGGACTGACCATACCTGACATAAATAACAGAGGACTGACCAAAACTGACATAACTAACAGAGGACTGACCAACACTGACATAACTAACAGAGGATTGACCAACACTGACATAATTAACACCAGGACTGACCAACACTGACATAACTAACAGAGGACTGACCAACACTGACATAACTAACAAAGGACTGACCATCACTGACATAACTAACAGAGGACTGACCAACACTGACATAACTAACAGAGGATTGACCAACACTGACATAACTAACAGAGGATTGACCAAAACTGACATAACTAACAGAGGACTGACCAACACTGACATAACTTACACAGGACTGACCAACACTGACATAACTAACACTAGGACTGACCAACACTGACATACCTAACAGAGGACTGACCAACACTGACATAACTAACAGAGGATTGACCAACACTGACATAACTAACACCAGGACTGACCAACACTGACATAACTTACACAGGACTGACCAACACTGACATAACTAACAGAGGACTGACCAAAACTGACATAACTAACAGAGGATTGACCAACACTGACATAAATAACAGAGGACTGACCAAAACTGACATAACTAACAGAGGATTGACCAACACTGACATAAATAACAGAGGAGTGACCAACACTGACATAACTAACAGAGAACTGACCAACACTGACATAACTAACATAGGACTGACCAACACTTACATAACTAACAGAGGACTGACCAACACTGACATAACTAACAGAGGATTGACCAACACTGACATAACTAACAGAGGATTGACCAAAACTGACATAACTAACAGAGGACTGACCAACACTGACATAACTTACACAGGACTGACCAACACTGACATAACTAACACTAGGACTGATCAACACTGACATACCTAACAGAGGACTGACCAACACTGACATAACTAACAGAGGATTGACCAACACTGACATAACTAACACAGGACTGACCAACACTGACATAACTAACACAGGACTGACCAACACTGACATAACTAACAGAGGACTGACCAACACTGACATAACTAACAGAGGACTGACCAACACTGACATAACTAACAGAGGACTGACCAACACTGACATAACTTACACAGGACTGACCAACACTGACTCAATTAACACAGATCTGACCAACACTGACATAACTAACACAGGACTGACCATCACTGACTCAATTAACACAGATCTGACCAACACTGACATAACTAACACAGGACTGACAATCACAGAGGACTGACCAACACTGACATAACAGTGAAGCAACTAGGACTTATTCAATTTTGTGTGCTTCATTTAATGCTGGTGTAACTCTGTAGAGGGAGATACAGTGAAATTTGCTTGGCAAAAAATTAAATTGTGCATTGTATTGTTTGTGTCTGCAATATTTAAACTCATTGGGCAAACATTGTTGTAAAAACCTGAAACATCACCTCCCGCACCCAACAGTGAAGTGACAGGGATTTTTTCAATTTTGTTCTCCATTTTATGTTGATGTAAACATAAGACTGACCTTCTTAGCGAACTGCTTACTGGCTACCCCTCCTGACCTTTGATCAGATTGTCTGGAGTGAGGTTCTGACGTCTCATCTTGGAGCCCAGATGTTTCTGCATGGCTCTTTATTCCAGGAATGTCAGTGTGATCGGAAGTATGAAGCCTTGGTCCAGCAACGATGTCTCGGTATCTAGGCATGTTGTCATCAAATTTGCTGGAGGAGTTTGATAATAACTAATTTGTTAAGTGCATCCACAGGGTTTTTGATGTCAACATATTTGTGACTCTAAGATTCAACAGATTCTGCAAGCTTTATGATAGGGAATCCATCTTTTCCAGAAGTATGAGATGGATAAGAATTATTGGAATGAGAATAATAAGCTGTATTGCTTACAGGTTAGAGAGATCAGAGTCTTTGAATTGACATCATCTCCATATTCGAGGTGGCAACACATGTCTCTTATTTCCAACTGAATATTTAGGAAAGAGAAATGTAATACTGCTGCCTGCACAAGTGGATCCAGAAACCTGTCTCTAGGGCACTGACCCACTCTTTGCAGATCTTGATGTTCTTGGACTCCTTTTTTGAGTCATGATGAATTGAAGCTGACTAGGATTTCCAGGTTTACTGTCTATAAAGCCAGACATTTGGTTTTTCAGCTTGTAATCCTTGTCTGTAAAGTCAGACATTTGGTCTGTCAGTTTGTAATCCTTGTCTGTAAAGTCAGACATTTAGTCTGTCAGCTTGTAATCCTTGTCTGTAAAGTCAGACATTTGGTTTGTCAGCTTGTAATCCTTGTCTGTAAAGTCAGACATTTGGTTTGTCAGATTGTAATCCTTGTCTGTAAAGTCAGACATTTGGTTTGTCAGCTTGTAATCCTTGTCTGTAAAGTCAGACATTCTGTTAACTAGTCTGTGATCAGTGATGTCTGGACCAGGTAACCAAACATCTTTCTGCTGTGATACAAAATCTTTAGGATTACTGTGTATTTAGAAGAGTGATTCAATACAGAAGAGTGCCTAGAATAGTGTGCATTGTTGATGAGAGAAGACCAAAATGATTGCTCTATGTATTAGACACCTTCTTTCAAACTGTTTGTCCCATGTGTTAGATATGTTCTACCAAACTGTACTTATTCCATGTGTTAGACATGTTCTATTACACTAAACTTGTCAGACCAAAATCTAGCACAGCATCAAGGCTCATCAGAAAGTATCCATTTAAGGCAGTAGTTTCCAGCTGTCTACATGTGATATCTACACACACCTGGTGTACAGTGATGATAGAGGACAGTCTCCATGTGATATCTACACACACCCAGTGTACAGTGATGATAGAGGACAGTCTACATGTGATATCTACACACATCTGGTGTACAGTGATGATAGAGGACAGCCTACATGTGATATCTACACACACCTGGTGTACAGTGATGATAGAGGACAGTCTACATGTGATATCTACACACACCCAGTGTACAGTGATGATAGAGGACAGTCTACATATGATATCTATACACACCCAGTGTACAGTGATGATAGAGGACAGTCTACATGTGATATCTACACACACCTAGTGTACAGTGATGATAGAGGACAGTCTACATGTGATATCTACACACACCTAGTGTACAGTGATGATAGAGGACAGTCTCCATGTGATATCTACACACACCTGGTGTACAGTGATGATAGAGGACAGTCTACATGTGATATCTACACACACCTGGTGTACAGTGATGATAGAGGACAGTCTACATGTGATATCTACACACACCTGGTGTACAGTGATGATAGAGGACAGACTACATGTGATATCTACACACACCTGGTGTACAGTGATGATAGAGGACAGTCTACATGTGATATCTACACACACCTGGTGTACAGTGATGATAGAGGACAGTCTACATGTGATATCTACACACACCTGGTGTACAGTGATGATAGAGGACAGTCTACATGTGATATCTACACACACCTGGTGTACAGTGATGATAGAGGACAGTCTCCATGTGATATCTACACACACCTGGTGTACAGTGATGATAGAGGACAGTCTCCATGTGATATCTACACACACCTGGTGTACAGTGATGATAGAGGACAGTCTACATGTGATATCTACACACACCTGGTGTACAGTGATGATAGAGGACAGTCTACATGTGATATCTACACACACCTGGTGTACAGTGATGATAGAGGACAGTCTACATGTGATATCTACACACACCCAGTGTACAGTGATGATAGAGGACAGTCTACATGGGATATCTACACACACCTGGTGTACAGTGATGATAGAGGACAGTCTACATGTGATATCTACACACACCTGGTGTACAGTGATGATAGAGGACAGTCTCCATGTGATATCTACACATACCTATGTGCAGTGGTGATACAGAACAGTCAACATGTGATATCTACAACACATGGTGTCTGTGAAGAAGTGGTGATACATGGGATATGTACACATACCTGGTGTACAGTGATGATAGAGGACAGTCTACATGTGATATCTACACACACCCGGTGCAGGACAGTGATGATAGAGGACAGTCTACATGTAATATCTCTAACATATGATAGAGGACATGTTACAGTGATATCTACACACACCTGGTGTGCAGTGATGATAGAGGACTGTCTGTATGTGATATCTACATACACCCTATGTACAGTTTTGATAGCAGACAGTCTGTATGTGATATCTAAAACACACATGATAGAAGACATCTACAGTGATATCTAAACAACCTGGTGTGTGGATAGAGGACTGTATGTGATATCTACACATACCCAGTTTGTGATAGTGGACAGTCTGCATAGACTGACTGTACAGTGATGATAGAGGACAGTCTCCATGTGATATCTACCCTGTGTTAAGTGATTTTAAAGGACTGACTACATGTGATATCTACACATTACCCTAGTGTGTGATGTAGAGGACAGTACATGTGATACTACACAACCCACGAGATATCTACATGTGATATCTACACACACCTGTGTATAGTGATGGTAAAGGACAGGACTGTGTGATATCTACACACAGATATCTACATGATGATACCCTGTGTTAAGTGATATTACACACACCTGTCTACACAAGATATCTCCATGTGATATCTACACACACCTGGTGTGAAGTGATGGTAGAGGACAGTCTACACATGATATCTACACACACCTGGTGTGAAGTGATGGTAGAGGACAGTCTACATGTGACATCTACATATTACCTGGTGTACAGTGATGATGGACACTGACTTTGTTTTGATGCTACACGCACCTGGTGTACAGTGATGATAGATCAGTCTACATGTGATATACACAACTAGTGTACAGTGATGATAGAGGACAGTCTACATGTGATATCTCACACACCTGGTGTACAGTTGGATGATGAGGACACTACAGACTGATATCTACACACACCTGGTGTACAGTGATGATAGAGGACAGTCTCCATGTGATATCTACACACACCTAGTGTACAGTTATGATAGAGGACAGCCTATATATGATATCTACACATAGCTATATGAGGTGGTGAAACAGAATTGTCAACATGTGATATATCTAAACATATTCTGTGTAAAGTGGTGATACAGAACTGTCTATATGTTGTATCTTCATATACCCCATGTGAAGTTTTGATGCAGGACTGTGTATGTAACATCTAAATATACTGAATGTTAAGTGGTTATGCAAGACTGTCTGTATGTGATATCTACATAAACCCTATGTGAAGTTTTGATGCAGACAGTCTGTATGTGATATCTTCACATTACATACTCAGTGTGAAGTGGGGATGCAAGACTGACTGTATGTGATATCTAGATATTACCCTGTGTTAAGTGATTTTACAGGACTGTCTACACAAGATATCTACATATTACCCTGTGTGAAGTGATGGTACAGGACTGTCTACATGAGATATCTACATATTACCCTATGTGAAGTGATGGTACAGGACTGTCTACATGAGATATCTACATATTACCCTGTGTGAAGTGATGGTACAGGACTGTCTACATGAGATATCTACATATTACCCTATGTGAAGTGATGGTACAGGACTGTCTACATGAGATATCTACATATTACCCTGTGTGAAGTGTGGTACAGGACTGTATACATGAGATATCTACATATTCCCTATGTGAAGTGATGGTACTGACTGTCTACATGAGATATCTACATTACCCTGTGTGAAGTCATGGCACAGGACTGTCTATGTAAGATATCTACATGTTACCCTGTGTTAAGTGATTTTTACAGGACTGTCTACACAAGATATCTACATATTACCCTATGTGAAGTGATGGTATGGACTGTCTACACAAGATATCTACATGTACCCTGTGTGAAGTGATGGTACAGGACTGTCTACATGTGACATCTACATATTACCCTGTGTGAAGTGATGGTACAGGACTGTCTACATGAGATATCTACATATTACGCTGTGTGAGTGATGTACAGGACTGTGTACACAAGATATCTACATATTACCCTGTGTTAAGTGATTTTACAGGACTGTCTACACAAGATATCTACATATTACCCTGTGTGAAGTGATGGTACAGGACTGTCTACACAAGATATCTGTATCTGTGTTAAGTGTTTTACAGGACTGTCTACACAAGATATCTACATATTACCCTGTGTGAAGTGATGGTACAGGACTGTCTACATGTGACATCTACAAGCTACCCTGTGTGAAGTGATGTACAGGACTGTCTACATGAGATATCTACATATTACCCTGTGTGAAGTGATGGTACAGGACTGTCTACACAAGATATCTACATATTACCCTGTGTGAAGTGATGGTACAGGACTGTCTACATGAGATATCTACATATTACCCTGTGTGAAGTGTGGCACAGGACTGTCTACACAAGATATCTACATATTACCCTGTGTTAAGTGATTTTACAGGACTGTCTACACAAGATATCTACATATTACCCTGTGTGAAGTGATGGTACAGG